TTCAAATTGCAGAATTTGAAACTTCAAGGCAAATAATCCACCAGCCATGGCTGGAGACCAATATGGTTCAGTTTTTATCTTTCTCATTCTCTTCTCTTAAGGGGTCAGAGGCACCTGTTTCCAGAGCTTTCTGCAATCCCATGCTCCTCAGGCATACCCATCATGGAAGAAATTGCTTATATCACCTCACACACTACCCTTTGCCACCCCAAAATGTTGACTGGGGAAAATTAGGGCTTTGAAACTATTTACTGCATTGATAGCATGGGGAAAACAAATGGAGGCTTTGCTGAACCAGGACCCTGCCACCAGATAGGGAATCAGCTTTTCTGAATCAATGAAGCTGATCAACTCATTCAGTATGACTAGTGTTCGACAAAGGGGACTGAAGGGTCAAAAATTATGGTTACACACTGTAATCTAAATAAGTTTAAGGAATGGCAGAACTTCAGAACCTGCACAGATTTACTCCCATTCCTTCATGAAAGCTCTTAGACAGCTCCGATGTGTTCTCCAAGTGTTCCTCTCCGATTGAAACGACTCAGAAGTGGGAAGCAAAAAACATCCATAGTGCTTACAAAGAATAAAAGAAACCAATAATCTGCCTGTTGACACACACATTTTCACAGGACTGAAAACTACCTGAAACCTGCTGCAACTATTATTAACTCTGTGCAGCTCCACCCCAGCACCTCCTGATCAGTTTGAGGGACGTTTATAAACTGTGACTTTACAGTAACGTTGTCATCTGCAGTTACGGTTTACAAAGCTGCTTTTGCCTTAAACTTTGTAGATGTTGATAGCTTTTTTTTGTTTTGTTTTAAGATGATGTTGGTAATTTGCACATTTAGCTCTGTTTAGAACAGAGTCAAAAACATTGTTGTCTTCTTTTGGATCACACTCGGGTCTGACGGGCAGTTTGTTTTTAAACACACTTGAACAAAGGTCAGAGTAACGTGACTTTCACATATAACTTGGTGATTATCAACCTGTTGAGAAGAAGACTTGTTTGGGTTTAAACATTTATTAAGACAGTATAGGGCCTGGCCAGTGGGGCTCAGTGATTGAGCATCGACCTATGAACCAGGAGGTCATGGTTCAATTCCCAGTCAGGGCACAAGCCCAGGGGTTTTGGGCTCGATCCCTGGTGGGGGTCCTGCAGGAGGCAGCTGATCAATGACTCTCATCATTGATGTTTCTATCTCTCTCACCCTCTCTCTCAAATCAATAAAAAACATTTGAAAATCAAAAAAAGTTAGTATAGGAAAACCAAATACTGCAAATGGTCAATTAGATTTTAATTTCTAAATAAATAGTCTTTTATTACTAAAAATATTAAAAGGATATGTTGAGTAGTGGGGGGAATAATATGAGGTGGGGAATGGCAAGTAAATTAAGCATTTTTGATCCTGTAATCATGATGTCATGACAATGAAAGGAATTCACAAACTCCTGCCAGAGGGAAATGTTTTTAATTAAAGCTTAAAAAATAAAAGAAAAAATACTTTCATTTGTTTAAAAGAAAAGCTACAAATTTGTTTCTTCCAAGCTTAGTCCTTAAATTTAGAGTCAGTTAAATATCCTAAACAGAGTTTTATTTATAATTTTGAATTATTTTGCTACTGATCTATGATCAACCATTTTAACTTTCATTTATCTCTAGGGATGTTTAAAAAGGAATACACTTATATGCTTATATAATTGCAAAATCAACTATAAAAAAGAAAGTAAACTAATTACTAAAATTATGCCTTACACCAAAAAATAGGTGTAATTTTGATTTATTCACATCAGACTGCTATTGTGTTGGCTGTTGTCATTTTTTTACTTGACAGTCTAAGGGAAAAGAGGTCAGTGCCCCTCACTAAATAGTCAGGTACTGCACACTAGTGTTCCTTGGCACACTGGTTGAAAATCGCTGACCTAAACAGAAGACCTGAAACAATAAAACTCCTAAAAAAAAACAAAAACTGGGAAAAACCTTCATGACATTGGTTTGCCAATGATTTATTGGATTTAACAAAAAAGCAAAAATAGACAAGTGGGACTATATCAAACTTAAAAACTTCTGTGCATCAAAGGAAATAATCAACAGAGTACCAAGGCCATACATGGAAGCTGTNTGTTTTCCATGGAAGCTGTACAATGTTACATTTCCACCAACAGTGACAAGGGTTCCAATTTTCTACACCCACACCAACACTTGTTATTTTCTGTGTGGTTTTTTTTTGTTTTTGTTTTAATATTTAAGGCCATCCTAATGGGTATGAGGTGATATCTCATTGTGGTATTGATTTACATTTCCCTAATGACTAATGATGTTGAGCACTTCTTTTTAAAACAACTTGTGGCCCTTCC